TTGTTGCTGGCGCTAGCATGCCTCAAGTAATCCTCATACTACATGTGGCCGCATTTTCGCGTTCCGGTCTTTGGGGCCTTCATCGAGCGATGCAGCCTGGAATCATCCGATGTACAAGTGAACTCGGGGGTCCTTGCGTGAGCAAGTCTTGTGTCAGGTGCGTGATTTGTGCAAGCGGTTGGCGGACGGAAGACGTTCCTGACGGCACGGCGAAGGGACAGCTAATCGCGCAGAGACGGGAGCGGAACTTGGGGAATTTCTTGCGCGGCGCTGCAGCGGGAACGCAATTCAGACTTACCTCGGATGGCCAAAATGTCCGATCAGCGCGGCGAGCACGAAGCATACGACGCGCTGAATCAGCACTGCCGTGCTTCTTACACGTGCACACGAACTGCGCGGTGCTCAGGCGAGGATAGCATCTCGCCCGCTCTCGCGTGGCTCCGCTGCCGCTGCCGTTAGCATGCGATCCGGCCAACGAAACATGCGCCGCGCCCGCGCGGGAACGTCGCTTCCAAGCAACATGTACGCGTAGCCTGGGCGAGAGTGACAAGTCGCCCTGTCTCCTGGGTGGGCCGAAAATCTGGCCAGTGGAAAACGTGCGACGCGCTGTGGCGGGCGCGCCACTTTCAGGCGAAATCTGCGCGGCGCTGAGGCGAGAGCGGCATCTTCGTCCGCTCACGAGTCGACGAAGTGGCGTGCGAAGCATGCGTGCGGCGCCCAAGCGGAAGCCCAACTCCCCAAAAAAATACACGCGGCGCCGAGGGGAGAGAGCGTCGTTTGGTCCGCTCGCTCGAAGTATGCGCCCCGACCCGCTCTGGTCACGCATGTTGCAGCGTCGACGCCAGATAGTCCATATTGAAAGGGGAATCGTTGACAGTGTATAGTTTGAGCAGGAAAGATGGGACCACATGGACTGTATAATACCATAGGCCGGCCAGGTGGCAAAGCGGAAGGAACAAGAGCAACGAGCATGGAGAAGGAGCAAAGTATGGGGGGGAAGGGAGAAGGAGAGGGGAGGATGAGGATGATGGGCAGTGACGGAGATGGGGGGGCAGGGATTGATTACGGTGGTGTCTGTCCTCCCCCTCTCTTTCCCCCATCCTCCCTTTTCCTGTGCACTTCCCCTTGCTCGGCTTGTCTAACCCGCACATGAGCTGCCCGTCTCTCCGAGAGAACAAGGCAGTAATACAACTTGATTTCGTTTCCCATCCCCCTTTCCGTTCGTGTCCTTGGTCGCAGCCTCGACCCCACATCCTCCCGCGATTGATCTGCTTCCGGAACGCATGACTTGATTCATTTTCGACCACCAGCGTTGAACAGGAATGTTGTGTAGTGATGTGAGATTTCCCATTACGTTATGTTCGTCTCTTCGGCTTTGCCCCTCTAATGACTACTCTTTCCCAAACGTGTCCTTTGGCAAGGGATGGACATTAAGCAGCCGCTCGCGTGCACGGCGTGCTTGACCTTCAGCAAGGATACTTCTTTGCGGGACTACTCGCAGGGTGCCTACCGCATGCGCGGCATCGGAAGGGGGCAGCGCATCGAGTTGCTGCTGATCCCTGAGGAGACCCCGCCTCAACCAGTTTGTTATGTTTGCTGCTTTCTTTGTTTGTCCAGCCAGCTGCCTCTGCACGCTTGTTCTTTGGCGCAAGCCACACAGCGGTACGACGTCAGTGGCGGCGCGGCAGTTGCGGTGGCACATGTGCAGCAGCAGCGAAACGCTCAGCAGCAACAGCGACAGCAGCATAGCAGCACCGAGTACGAATGGAGCAATAGGCCTGTAGGAACAGCCAACGGGGGGAACACACAGTAAGAACAGGGTGCTCTCGTACTCTCACACCTGCATGCTTCGACACAAGCTTCGACACAGTCTGCGAGAGACTTTCTTCAGATCTTCTTGAGGGCACCGCTGAGGCTTCCTAGGCCGCCCGCTGCCGACATCGCCTCATTGGCTCAGTCCGCGATGTTCGTCCTTAGGTTCTGGTGGCTGCGGCGGGCATCGGCCCTTGTTTCTGCCTCCCCTGCGTGCTTCTTTGCGCCAGATGTTCACCGAGTGCGGCCAGCCACACCGCTTATCGTATCGCCACTTGCGTGCCCGTCTGCGTGTGAAGTCGTATGCTCCAGTCTGGTGAGGGGTCGTATGTTCTGATCGGGTGCGGTTGTGGCAGCTCTGAGGTGGTGTCCTTGATGCACAAGGCGCTCGGGAGCGCCGAGGGCGTCGCGCCGTCCGACCGAGCGGCGCAGGCGACTTGGAGGGGACGCTGGAGGGGTGCTTCTGGGGACGGAGTGCGGCACGTATGGGGCATGCTTCGGGGGAGTGACGGGGCCCCTCTAGGTGACGCCCGAGGGGGAGGACTGCGTGGGCTGGGAACTAATCTGAAGAACTGCTCGACGTTACCAGCGTCGTACTACGAGTGCTCCTACCCGAGATGCACTTATTAGTAGTTCGATTACTTCTACGAGTCATACGAGTACGTTGGCGACTACTTAGGATGTTATG